GGGGGGGGGGGGGGGGGGGGGGGGCTTGAGTGGAAATGTTTTAATTTTGTGTGTTCAAAGCTCAGCTTCCATTAATTCAACTGCAGACAAAAAAGTGTTCATCACTTGTACAAATCGTAATATCAGTCAGAAAATGAGGAACACAAAACCACCTGTTAGTAATTATGTAAATGAGTGACAGCATCACACAGGAATTCCTTATTAGCAGGGAAACCTATTGGCAGGGGAAAACATATTTTGTCAGCAGAAGAATAGACATGCTCAAGAATCTATAACACTTTTCCACATGATAGAGATAAAAGCATGTCTAACGGGCAAAGATTCTTCTCCCCAAGCCATTGCTTTTGTCCTATTCCTATTCCTACCCAGGATCTGCAGATTCCAGCAATGTTTGGGCAAGTAAATTCATTTCTAGCCTCTCTACTTATATTGAAATCTTCATAATTTCCCGTTTCAAGTCTGTGTACAAGCCATATCAAGCTACTGACTGTTTCCTTAGTAATTTTATCTTTTTTTTCTAGCCCAAAAATATCACTTTTCGCACCTGGAACCCAGCGGGTTCACAAGTCCAATTCCCCTTCCGGTTATCCATGCCTTTCCTTTCTTTGTACCTCACAGCAAATGGACTCTTCTCCAGGTGTTTGGTCTACACTTGAACTGGGGCTGCTTTTCCCCAGGTCACCCAAATACGGCCCATCCACAAACTTAACACAAGAAAATTCAGCTGAAGTACCCAAGGACCCTCCCAGGAGAGCGACAGCAGCAGGAGCACAGTGCAGATGCAGGAGAATGCTGCCCAGATCTGCATTCGTGGGTTCTTTGGGGTCTGAATTGATGATGCTACTACTTTTTTTTAGGCAAGTGTATATTTGGCTAAATTTAGTGAAAATCTTCTGGACAAACCAAAACCAAAGTGCATGTCTGACATAGTGTAGCTATTCTCAACATATTTTTGGTACCTGATATTCATGAGGCACCTGCACTTCTCAGGACAAAAAGCTTCATCCATTCCTCTCATTCCTGCCCATTTCAGCTTCATCCATTCCTCTCATTCCTGCCCATTTCACTCCAATTATCCCCTTTTTGCCTCCAAACTGCTATAGAACTTCAACATTCTTAGAGAAGAGTGCATTATTTTGTCAATTTAATTTTGTCCAGTAAAATCAGTTTTCCAGTTAGGCATGGAAAAATTTGGACAAAGCCATTTCAATTTGATAAACTTATTAAAACTGGACAAAGGAAAAGAAAAATCACCAAAAGAAATTTATAAACCTAATGCTGAGCAATGTACTTGGCCCATCTGTAATTATGTGAATCTGGATGAGAATATTTTAATGACACTTTCTGTAAGTTTGCAATAGCATCTTTTTCACAACTTCTCTCCTAAGAGGAGCTAAGACCAACTCCTGCTCTCAGCTCATACAGAATACTCTTCATTTCAGCATGTTTTTCAAGACATGATCCTAAACTAGGAAATTTAGATCCAAATCAACACTCTAATTGGTGATTTAGAGGTACTGGTTCATCCCCATTGAATTTAAACAACTCCATGTGTGTCTGTGCACTGGCTTGGTCTGCATACAAAAATCATTTTAGATTTTTACAGTGTTTACAAGAGCGCTGTGTAAACAGCTAAGAAATTAGAATGTGCATATTTATGAAATTTCTACTTGTGGCTGTAAATTTTTCTATACAGGAGATGAGAAAAATAAATTCCTGTCTCATTTTGAGGAGAACCCAGCTGAAGAGAAAGTAAATGGCCCTGAGGTCATTAGATAAATCACTGGATTCCACATCAAGGCAATTTAGGAGAATACACATATGTTTGTTTCATATCAGCTTCTAAAACTGTAGATTTTCAAAAACCTTTAAGAAGTTGTTAGAAAATTAATAGCTACGTAAGGACAGAGCCCAGTTAGCAAGGACATGCAAATATCAACAACTGCTGCTTCCATTTTTCCATCATCTCTGCATTTTGCACAGCGTGAATCAGGAAAGAACAAGCTATCTCTTATGTTGTTTCCTGTATTTGTATCACTCAGAAAACCCCTTGAATATGTCCAATAGCTAATTATACAGCTATAAAGTGATCAGAGTGAATGCCATTGCCAGTGCAATTAACATTCTTTATGTGAGATTAGCTGGATTTGAGTCACCTGCATAACTTGCTTACAATGTTAATCTCTCAGGAGGCAGAGCACTGCTTGCCCAAGCATGTTAAATAAAGAAGGTTTCTTTGCACAGCCAGGTCAAATTTAGTTTCAGAGCTAATCCTGGAAAAAAAAATCTTTTTTCATATTTTTTCTTCTGACATGGCTTGCCCATAAAGCCTTGTGCTATAATTAAATATTGTTACTCTGTCAACAGCATCCAGAGCACAATATATTTTAGAAACAACAAGAAAGGGTGATAAATTAAAATCATAGGCATGTATAAAAATTTTAATATACCTATTTTATAAGCTTTCACTGAGTAAATAAAGTACCCACTTCCCAGACTTGCTCTGATGAATATTAAAAATCTTTGAAGAGAACTATAAAATAGGTCATGGTTATATGTCATGTCAGCCAGTCATGCTATTACTAGGGTGACCTTTATAACTTCAGAATAAACTTTGCTTGCAGTTATAAAAGGGGATTGTTAATGTGATCTGGACACACACCTACAATCTGTTGCAGTGCTTGAGGTATGTGCTGCAAGGAAACCCACAGATCTGAGCCAGAAATGGCAAAATGCTTTCCTTGCTTTGGGTGCTGACACAAGTTAACCTCAGAACTCAATTTTTCCCATATTTAACAATTGGTCTGAGTATCACAGTCTATTAGGGAGACTCAGATGACCTTCAGATGTATTATTGCCCTTTCCCTGCTCCTCAAAAAGTTAGACAGACACATATGGGGCCTCAATCTAATTAAAATGATCCTAACTACCTTAATATATTTTCTCTGCTGAGGAAACTGCTAGAGTGAGGGATTTGATGGTCCTCATAATGCAGAGCTTCAATCTGATTTAGAATTGTTCTTGTTTTCTCTGTCTTTGCTGGAGAGAAGACATTGCTTTTCTAAAATGTTTTTGTGTTCTAAAAAGAGTATTAAAACACAAAAGGCTTTGGGGAGGGATTTAATAGCAAATAGTTACATTTAAAAGCTTTTTGCACTTTAGCATTCTTAATCAAAAGGGAAAAAAAGGAAACATTAGATGGTGGGAAGTAAGTTTCACTTCAGAATGCTGTCAATAGAAGAGATATTTCATTAAATGAAGCGTGATCTGGATGAAGTAAAACTCTCTGCCAAAGAAAGAACATGTGGAAGAAGATGGGACATTACGATCTCACTAAACTTACCTATGTGGGCCAAATAAATGAAAATAGAGTTGTAAAAGCAGGTGGTTTTATATTTATAGATAATCTTCTACTGCATCTTTTTTAGGCACTTTTCCCTTTTTCATTTGAGAAATAAGCATTTGTGTAGTGATTGCTAACTCCTACACCGAGCAGCACCCAAGGTGTGATGAGCTTGGACAGTACAGCCAGGGAACACCAGCAAGAGGCAAATGCAGTAAAATGAATCTTATCAGTTGCTAGTGGTTTTCTCTTTTTATATACATCTACAACCATGTTAATTACAGTTTTTACTGATTGTTACATACAGACTTTGGGGCAAAATCAGAGAGGTTTTTCAGAGCAGTATCGTTATCCCATAACAACTTCTTGGTATCTGTGAATAACAAATATTCTAAAGTTAAACTGGCTTTTTGCAAACTGCTACAAGTAGACTGCAAGTGGAAAATACAGGGATTCGAAGAAAACCAGGAGAAGATTTGATCTGAGGGACAAAATACACACTGCTGATTTCCCTCTCTTGACCTATGAATGTATACCTGTTTTTTGGTAGATTTTTCCATGTGACTGGGAAAGCTTTCCAGGATACAATGGGTCAAGACTCTGCTCAGGCCTTTCACATAGGCAGAGCTCAAGAAAATAAAATGGGGAACAATGTCTTGTGGCATTTTTTTCTTCTAATGCCATGTCATCATAGTACACTTTTTCTGAAACTAGGGTTTCTCTTTCAGCCTGACAATATCTACAGAACATCAAACACAAATACTTCCTCAAGCATCAGACAAAAATACCTCTTCATCCCCCAGGACCTTATTAGCTGAAAAAAGGTTCAGATACCAAAGATAAAATCAAAGATTAATCCAAGCCAATCTTTAATATGTCCAAATTGACATATCTTTTAAAGATATTTTTGTACTCTTTCTACTTATGCTTTATATTCTTTTGAGGCTCTTCTAAATATATCTTTTTCCACTGCTTGATGCCAGTCTCTTGAAGTTGATATACTAAAGCTTTCATTGATTTCACTGAGCTTTAGAATCAATATACAAGATATACCTTTGTACATTCTCTTCAAACATGCTATTTTAAGTGCAAAGGGAAATAAAAGAGCATGAAACACTTAAAACCACTTGAAAACTTATCTCAGAATGGTGAAGTAGCATGACAAAATGATAAAGGTTATCTTAAGGAGTAATTCCTTCTTTATTTAATTTCTGGCTCCATATTATGTATTTACAAACAAAGCTTTCTTACAAATAGGAATTAAACTGTTTCTGTTTTGCATCTTGCTTTAATTCTGTTCAGCCAAGGGCTATGAGCCCAAACACAAGCAATGCGGCCTAATTTGTATCACTTACACTTCGGAAATCGCCCTTTAGAATAGTGCACACACAATAATCAAGTCCCATGCTGCCTCTTTTTGTGAACATTAGGACTGAGGTTATTAACTTCCTTTAAAGTGCAACTTCAGACTGTGACAGACCCTGTCTTTGTGCTTTACTCCAAGATTACACCTTGGAGCCTCGTAAAGGCAAAAACTACCAGTAATGCTTGAAAAAGATGACTAACAAAATGTAGTGCATCTTCGTCACTATTCAAAACACACTTTTGGATAGCACTGCTATCTGATATTTATGGTATTTTACTGTGAAATCTTGTCAATTTTCTGCTAATAGAAGAATCATGACATGGGAACAATCTGCATTGACACTACTGGTATACTGTAAAGAGTGTCTATATGTTGAAAACAATGTTTCCTATGCAGATAAGCTTGGAAAAAAATGTGCAAGTTCTACATGTATTACTCATAACTATCTCTCAGTAAAAGTTATTGAATGGGTACCTAGCCAAGTGGACATATTCTGCATATAGGAAAATTTTATTTTCTCCCCCTACTGCTTCCCAAGGTTCTTATGGCCCATTTTATTTTACTGTTTCTAAACTCAGGAAAAGTGCAATCTTTCAGGCTAGGCTTCCATGCTGTTCCCCTTGGGCCATCAGTTCCCACCACACTGACCCAGCTTTTCCAGAGGCAATGCCTCAAGCTAAATTTACTGTACAGGGAGCCAGAGATCTGTCACAAGTCACATGCAGAAGTTAACTTCAGGTATTACAGAAAAACTTGGAGAGCCAAAAGTAACAAGTAGATGGTTTCTGGAAAGATTTGAGAACTGGTATGAAGCAGCTCCTTTTCCTACATAATGTTTTTACTAAGGCTCCCTTCATACTGTGGAAAGGGTTTGGAGGGTTATTATTAGTCAAAGGAATGAGGACATGACTGAAGACATGACCATGATTCTGGAAAGGAATGTATATAATTAATACACATTTCTTTCCAGAACACCTATAGGTTTGCCAGTCACCTGTTAAAATTCTCTAAGTCTCTCAGTCAAGATCTCTTTTATTTTTATTGTCCGTTTTCAAATATGTTCCAAGCAGATAAAGTTTGGCACACACATTGCATATAAGCATTTCTAGTACATTTTTCATCACCAATTGCAGTATTCCCATGTTCCTCAGACCCATAAGTCGTATTAGAGGAGGGCTGTGGACCTACCATACAATCCTGGTGGTTTTGCCTGGGTTCAGTGAAGCCAGTTTGAACACACAGAGCCTATCTGATGTTTCCCAGAGTCCTTGGATTTATCTGATTTATTTTGAGTACTTAGAGTGATTGGACTGTCCAGTAGATACATTGCTTCCTGGAAATATCATGGATAATGCTCTCCAGTTAGTGTGCACGTCCTTGCTCACACATGGGCTGCTGCCTGGAGTCCAGGAATGGAATACAACTGCTGGAAAGCATGGGCAAGTCTCCTCCTTTTGTATGGAGAAGACCAGGACTACCCTGGATATGATGTTACAGAAAGCCCAGTGCACCAACATAGAGATTCAGGGCCAGGAGGCAGCCAGGAAATGGGCACAGGGCAGCCAAACCATCTTGAGAGACAGCAGGTCATAACCTAAGCTATTCTTGAACAGCAAAAAGGAAGGTGGGAAGGTATCTGGGAATACCCAGATAGAAGGGGAAATGTAGATAGGAAGATACCACTGTAGGGAATTTTAAATACAATTTTCTTTCGCTAGTCTAACACAATTAAGAAGGATTAAAATATCTAATTTCATTTATTGCTGATTTTGTTCAGTATTCATCAAATAGTTTTATATTGCATTTTGCAAGTTTATTGCTATGATTATACCCTGTAAAAAAATCAGAGCATTGTAATTGTCTGTATTATTTTACATATCAAGACAAACCTAATATATTTCATAGCTCTGCAGGATATGAAATTACATGCACATTTCAGTTTTCATTCCTACAGTTCAATGCTTTTTAACAAATTATTTTCTTAAGGATTTCTTAAGGCTTCATAGTTTAGGACTGCAATCTGCTTGCTATCCACAGGGAGTATTACCAGAGATTAGCAGTACTTAAACTGATGAAGGAGATATGTCATGTCTCTTTTGCATCTGTATAAACCTACAGCTCTAACAGATTGGCTGGAAAGGGCATAATAATTTGACAGAGATCCTTTTTCTGGTTTTTTTTGTTTCTTTTTGCAAGGTATAATAATAATTCTGTCTTTAAAAGCCACATCTTTCCAGGAATCCACAACAAACCAGTTGGAGCGGAAACCTTTTCAGTCTTGAAAAGCCAGAAATCAGCATATCCTCAGAAATTAATGAATCTTGCCTAGCAAAAATCTTTCTGTGCCTTTTGTGAATTACATAATGCATATATTCTTTTTAAGTGGATATACAAATGTTGAATTACACATACATGCAAACACAGAGATGGCAATATGCCTGACTGGGTTTCCAGTCCACCCTAGTAGGCAGAAGGTGAAAAAATCTGGAGCATCTGCTTCACAAAGGACCTTAGGATTTCTATTTAAAGTCTCTCTGGGGTTTCAAAGGGTTTTGTTTGGAATTTCAATACTGTATCAAGGATATCAAAGAGGTGTAGCAGGAGGGAACATTAACACTATTTCTCTTTTGTCAGCATAGACATGTTTTCCTTAGCAGTGAGGCTTTTTTCCCTTATTGATCTTCCTTTGTTTGCTCAGAACCTCTTGACTAATTCCTACAAACCCACGACTGTAGGATGTACCACAGCATGATTTTGTGGCTTCCCTTCTTATGCAGTTGTGAGCAGGATGGATCCAGATCTAGGCTGGGTTATTAGTCTGTTCTTGCTTTGGACCCTAACCATGAGGCAAGTGCTCCTAGCAATCAATTTCTTGTGTTGTCCATCAGGTCCAAAAGTTCTTTCACAAAAGGAACTTATTCATTTTTAATTCATTCAGCAGCACCAAAAATCTAAATGCTGTCCTGGCTTACAGGAGGAAAAGCTATTTCAGGTCCTCTTAAAAATGAATGCCAAAATATATATTCAAAAATTTGATTTTGGAATTGTCTCCAATGATGCTTTACTGATCAAGTGAGGTTTTTTGTGCTATCCTACAAAGGTTTGATTTCACAAGCTCTCAGGAATATGAAATTATTTAAATAGGCAATCCTGGTCTAAATCTCTGGTAAGCAAGCATCGTCAACTGTAATAGAAGCAGCTTAATTACATTTGGCCATTCTGTGAGGGAGAGCCTTCTCCTGCAATAACATCTCTGGTTATACACCTAACTGTGGCACTCTGGTCAGACTGAAACTATGAGCTGAGAAGGATAATGTTGAGCCACCGCAGCTCCAACATTATAAACTGCAGCTTCTAAAACCTGATCTCCTTCTGTGAAATGCATCTTGAGCAGTACTGCTGCGTTTTGTGGCTTTTTCTTGTGTTTTGGTGAGCCACCCAGGGTAATTCAGGCTACATTTGCAAGGAAAAAGCCATAGAAGCAGGGGTCTCTTTACCAAAAACAGTCAGCTCTGCAGGGTCACTGTCGCGCTCCCCCACCATGTTGGTCCCCACACACGTGTACATTCCTGCATCGCTTTTTCTGGTGTTGGAGATCATCAGCTTCCCACCACGGATCTGTTTCGACACAAGGAACATATTTTTAACTTCAGGTAAACAAAATACATCAGAAAAACTGCTACCTTCTCAGGCAACAAGTTCCACAACCAAGACATCCCAAACTTTTGTTTGTAAATATATTTATAGCTTTAAAATTATATATTTAAATAACTTTAAGCTGTTCTAGAACACATTTTTATTCTGCTGACTTCAATTTGCAACTAATTTCATCTGCATTTGATTTTATTCCTTTGGTTTTCATTAGATTCCTTATATTTCAAATATTACATTTCTTGCTGCCTCTTGGCAGTACAGAATACTTTTATTTCTTGCACGGTGATATGTAGAGCATATGTAGATGTCTTGACATCTCTCTGAAAATAAAAGGCAATTTGACTTAGTTTTATTTAGTTAATTTTATTTTACTGGTGTCTGAACAGTTTCCTTGATCACTAATAAAGACAGATTTTCCTCTTTTTGTTGAGGCAAACAGACTGAATCTGGACCAAACTGGGAATTCACCTGACACTTAATATTTTCTTGGCTAAAAAGGGTGCTTGCAGAGTGAAAGAGCAGGGTAATTGAAAGAAATAAAGCAAAAATTTGTGGCTTGTGAAGTCACAGTGTCAAAGGTTAGACAACAGGGTGCTTCAGAATAAGCTGGGAATTTAACCAAAGAAACTTGAGAGTCAGAGAATGATAGCCAGTTCTCTGCCACTCTTTGCTCTTCTACTCTTAGGTAGACCCTAGCATTGACAGCCTGGTCCAAAACCAGCAACAGCTCAGATTCTTTGGCTTGGAATAATTCCTTCAGCATCCAGAACCACTAACAAGCTTCCTGATAGTACCTCATGTTGAGTAAGGTCAGCACTGAATAATTCCATATAACATGAAACTTTATTGAATAAATATTAATGGCAAAAAGCTAAGCATGTAAAAATAAGGAATGAAACATGTTCCCACCCACTAATTTATCCCATTTGCTTGCACAGACCATGATTTATCTCTAGTCACTTGGTAAGTTAAATATTTCTGCTGGATCCTTTTTCATTCAGTACAAGAAATGAATGCCCACAGAATTCAACCAGTGCTACTCATTTGCTCAACATTTATTCCTTTTCAGGAACCTTAATTCTTTAGAGTATGACTCTGGCTTCCATTTAGACACATCCAAACTACCGCAATAACTAAAACATTACTGGTATCATTCTAAGATGTTGGGTTTTCCCGCAGGGATTATTTGTCCTCCTCATAGATTGGGCTGAATTTACTTATAAACACCTCTCTGATATTTTCAGTTTGGAGAACTGAGATGTAGAAAAGGTAAAACCAAATTGGTCAAAGACATCCACTAAGTCCTTCATCTAACTGAGCACCTCCTACGACTGAATCTCCAGCTCTGATGGACCTCTGTTACACTGGATTTACAAACCAACCCTCAAAGAAGCTCAAGTTGGAGAGCCAGACCAGGAGCCTTCCTCCCTCATTTGGGAAAGCTCAGAGAGGCAAACGGCCAAGAAGGACAACAAACCTCTATGGGTAAGGCCATAAAACTTTATGTGTGAGTTCTGCTGGGCTCAGCTGTGGGCCCTGTGCATAGAGATAAAAATCCAGCTGGGCTGTACTCACACTGATCCGCTCCTCTCGGTCATCAATACGGACTTTATCTTTCTTCCAGTAGATGGTGGGCTCGGGGTGCCCTCGAGGCGGCTGGCACTCCAGTATTGCAGGCTCTCCAGCTGCCACCACCACGTCTGTAGGGTTTTGGCGGAAGTCATCCCGCAGCACTGAAGCGATAAATGAAGGAAAGAGGCAAAAAGAATTAATAGAAGTGATGGCATTGTAAGTGGAGGGGAAAAAAAAAGTAGAAACATAAACTATTAAACTATTAAACAAACAAGTCTCAACCATTATTAGGTGATGACTTTGCTTCTTATATTGACTGTAAAAGATCTCAAAAATGAGGCTGGGCAGATATGTCCTTTCATCCAGTGGAGGCAGACTTCACAAACAGGACTTTTGTTTTCCTGGTTTTTTCCTTTCCAGATAAGAACACTGCTCCGAATTTAAGTTTTAAAGACATGTAGCACCCATTACTCATCTTAACCTTGACAGGACCACTTTCCACCATTACAAAAGCAGAACTGCAGGTTGGATGTTGAGTTATTTTCATGGCAGAAAACAACCTGCTGAATATCTGCCTTGTCTGGGTCTCCAATTCCAGCAGAAGCTCAGTAAAAAAGGGACAGAACTAATACTGAGTTGCAGAGTTACACCTTGGCTAAGGGCATTGACATTATTACTGTTACTATTGCATTTCTGGCACATACATGCTAAAATGGTCACCAGTTCTGAAAGGTGTCAGAGAAATAAAACTGGCAGTAATGTACTTCCAACATATTTATTTCTTCCTTCTATATTTTTAGTTCTAATATTTTTGACACCTTGACCAGCCCTATCCCACTACATTGAAAAGAAAAGAGCATTTAAATCACCAAGCTGTTTGAGAACTAAATTAGGCAACACAGGCCAGCTTCTTATGTAAATCAAGCTTCTGTAAAGGATTAGGTCCAACTAGCCAGCTTCAGTGTTTTAGAATGATATTCACTTCATCCTTATTCTTCCATGTGTCCTAGTCTCTAGGTTAATTGACATTCTTATAAACATAAAACTGAAAATAGCTCTAGATGAGCTACTGAAATAGAATTTAGGGCATTTCCCCTCCCTGAATTTCTGCTATGCGTGGCTTTCATTACAGCTTTAAAAGAGTTCTCGCCCTTAATGGAACCAGGGCCCTCTGAGAAATTAGAAAACACTGTATCCTAGTGAAGGGGCAAGTCAGGAAGAGTTCAGCAGAAATTGCTCAGTCTCATTTCATAAGCAGAGATAATTTACTGCTTTCAATGTTAATAAAACGTGCCCCATTTTAACATTTGGAACTGAATATTTTTCTCTTCTGTAATAAGCCAGAAGAAAAATATGATTAATACATACAAGAATTGGTCTCTGGATAGTCTGAGGTGAGTGGGCTGTATATATCCGGCACTCAAAATGACGTGGAGGTAACTTTTATTGTTCTGCATTTTGGGATATACAGGTAAATCCCAGAGGAAGGAGGGGATTAATTGGAAGTTAATTCCTTTTCTAACACACACACACACAAAAAGAGTGACTATTTAGGTCTCACTCTTGAAGCATAAAATAAATTTGACAGGAGGCAGCTGGCAACAAATGCAGCTCTGACAAGAACCCGTAGTCTTCTTAGGTGACACACCTAATAAACAACAAAAAACTCAATCCCCAAATATTTCTGAATAATACAAACCTTCTGATTCACAATAATCAAACTGATAGAAATGGAATTTATATAACTTCAAGATCAAGTTGAAGAAATAATTTAAGCACAGAATTAGTACGATGAAGATCATATTGTACTATTGGCAGAGCGACACTTTGCAAACCCAATAAAGTCAGTATCATGGGAATGTCAGGGAAAGAACCAGAAAAAAAGTCTTATGAAATCATGGCTTTTAGGAAAGTAGCTTCATGTGTCTCTGTGATCCCCATGATACACAGGAAGAAAAAGTCTAGAAATCCTCTAGACAATGTTTTGCCCACGTTTGTATAAATGGCAAATAGATAAAAATTAATTTCTGCTATTATTATTACACATGAGATAAATATTATTTTTATTGGCTTGATCCTACTTGCAATTACTGAACTTCAGTGCAAATCCATTAGTGGAAAATCCTCAGAAAATCAGCAGATCCCATCACATAATGGTTTTATATTCCTGACTCCTGGCAGCAATGTTAAGGAAAGCATTTTCCTTGAACATTTCACACTGCTGTATGAACCTGACAAACACAGTTTCTTGCAGTGATACACAGCAAATTACATTAACTTTCTCTGAATCATCCCAGCAACTGTGTTAGGTTCCAATCAGCCTCAGAATATGAGGCTAAGAGGTGATTTGATTTTATCACATTCCTTTACCCAAAGTCTCACTGCAAAACTGGCTTGAATAGAAGACAAAATTGATGCTACAGGCTTTGCTTAATCTTGCTCAGTACCTCAGCACATATCTGAATCTTGAATAGATATATATCACCATTTCCATCTAAAGCATCCTCTGTTTTGGAGGGGAAAAAAAAAGGTTGGAGAAAAAAGAAATAGGGAAAAAATAAAGCAATGACAGAAAAGCAAAGATAAGAGGAAAATGCATGAAATATAAATTAAAGTGAGAAAATAACTCTGAGAGGAAGAGAGAGAACACTAACTTTAGGGAGACGAAAAAGAAAAAGCCAGGTAAAGGAAGAGAAAAGAAAGAATAAAAGCAGAGGAAGAAACAAGGTAAAGAGCCAAGGGCACAGGCTGCCATTCCTGTGATTCAGTATTTTAATGCAATCTAACAACAATGAAATAAAGCACAGATGTTAATCTGATCAGCCCAGTCACCCCAGAACATCCAAACATCGCCCCAAGAGAAAGGGGGCAGGGAAGAGGAGGGCAGAGCATGAGCTGGTGAGCTTGGCTCTCCTCCTGGAGTGGCACAGGAAGCCACAGAAGGAAGAACCATCAACTGGAAGTTGAGTTCATACTATTAGAACAGTAAATTGAAAGTTGCAGCACAGCTTAGTGCACTCACCATATCTAATGGTACAATCATCTGCGAAAACAGAAAAATGATTGAGAGCTGCAGAATATTTCTCAGCCAATTATCCACAATTGCTGGATACTTCCAAATGACTATTAGTGTGCCTGAGCAGACCAACCTCTCCACACACAGGCAAAAGAGTTTTGTTCACTTGAGAAGCCAGCCATCCTCAGGGCCCTTTTGGCAGGGCACAAATACTAATGTTTTAAAATTTAACAAGCAGCACTATGCTGTCACCAGCCTCCTCTTCCTCTTAAAAGCAAATTTTTTTGCTTTTAATTTTACACACAGCTCACTTTGTGCTTGCATGGGTGTTTCCCTATGTTTTTGGGTGTTACCTTACATTCTTTACTGTGAGGGTGACAAGATCAAAAGAAGTTCTGGATGCCTGATCCCTGGAAGTGTTCAAGGCCAGTTGAGGTGGAGCTCTGAGCAACCTGGCCTAGGAAAGGTGTCCCTGCCCATGGGTGATCTTTAAGTCCCTTCCAAGCCAAACCTTTCAGTGATTTTATGACTAAACAAGGGGCGCCAAAAAGTGTCCCCCACACTGCATGCCAGCCCAGAACTGCAGCACAACCATACCCCAGGGGCTGCTCCCTTCTACCAGCCTGATGGCAGCACAAACACCCCCACGTCTCAAAAGGCAAAGCCTTGCAAGGGCAAAAGCTTCCAGATGGCCGAGCCCCACTGTCTGGAAAGGCACTGAGGGACTGGAGAACTGCAAAGAGCAGCTAAAGTGTACACACAGCCTATGATGGCACCCCGGACAAAAGTTAATTAAAGTTTGATCGGTCTCTTTGTGGCTCAAACAAGCTGATGCTGCTCAAACAAGATAGATGTCTGCGAGCAGTCACGGCAGTCTTTAAGGCAGAAAAGCCCTGTACAGCCATTTCCAGGTAGCCAGGAGTGTCACCAGGGAAAGGGAGCACATCCAGCAATGGGATAAACACGCGGAGCACACACCTGCCAGAGCGAGGGATGAGGGGGAAAGGAGCAAAAAGGAGCCCCCGCTCCCAAGGCAGCTGCTAACCAGCACCTGCCAGCTTAGGCCCAAATCCAGCCCTCGGTCAAACTGATGCTCATAAACTCAGGGAATTACATGGAAACCGAATTAATTTCCTCGGCTGAGGTTCCAGCAATTTGTTTAAAGGAAGTGGAGATAAAGCCACGATGTTTATGGGGTAGGAGGGAAGGTGGTGGGGTCAAAATTATTCTAGGCTAGATATCCATGCCTTAATCCTTCTTTCCAGCTTTCAGGCCCTTAGAAAGAAAACATTTTTATAGGATTTACATTTACATGATGATTACAAATAACCATCTGTCTGCTTCCACTTTTTCAATCTGGTCCATGTCCCACGAGCCCCCAGCCTGTGGTCAGAGCAGCTAAGCTGGAAGGAAGAAGTGGATGCCCGTCAGGAGGCTTTGGGATAATTGCATTCTTCTCCCACCAGCGCTTGTCTCTCTACCTCCTCCCCCTCTGTGTGCACGGCGAACATCTGAAATTACCGGGGACAGGAGGGAGGGAAAGAGTATCTTTGTTGCCTTTTTCAATGAATTATAATGTCCTAAAATACAGCTACATCTGTTGTGCTGACTAGAGGGTATAAAGAGATATCGAGTAAATATTAATGCACTTCTGTAACTTGGGGCCTGGTAGTTCATCTTCCCCCTCCTGTTCTGTTTTATCTCAGGATAATATTATTCTCATCTAAAGATTTTACACAGCCGCATCGGTGGTGGTTTGGTCACCTGCCACACCACAGGTAGGTCTCCCCTGATCCAAGGCACTTCCCCACAGGCATTTTCCAAAATCCTCATCTCTCTGCCGCTGCTCTGGCACTTCCCTTCTCTGATGCATACTGATATGAACAATCGACATGAGTTATTAAGTCAAATAACTGCCCAGATGTCATGCAGTGGGCAGATTAAAGGATTATTATACTTTAGGAAGCATACGGTGCAGGGAGGTATTTTAGATCTTGACTAATGTGCATGATCTGCTGAAATGGCCCCTGAGCAAGCCAGCACTACCTGCTGAAACAGGGTGACAGAAAAAAACCCAAGGGGTCACAGACAGCTTCCCTTGTGAAGAATAATAGACTTTATTTGAAGATGCTGCTGCCTGACCTC